GTAGCCTTATTAAACAGAGGCCTACTTCTTGTTGGACGATGAGCACAGAGAGACGAAGCGTCATTAAGTCTGTACGTACGAAGCAGTGACATACTTTTATATTCAGTCGACAGCATTATTTACAAGGGCGGATCCAGAGGAAACGGTTGAAACCACCCCTTCCCCCTGATTTACACCGATTCTTCATCTTCGTCAGCGCTTTTTGATTTCGTTATTTTCGACAGTAACCGTGAAAGGCGGTGCTTAGGCTTGTCATGGCAACCCGTATTCATTTTCCCAATATATGCTGATATAAGACTCCTTAAAAAATCAAACCCTGTGTTTTCTTTTGCTGATGTTTCGACAACTGGAATATTCCATTGCATTAACTCTAATTCTGCTTCGGCTAATGTTATTTTGTGCCGATACGGATCGATATCAGACTTGGCACTGACAGCTAGTATATGAATGTCCATCATCTTGTTCCCTATTTGCTTTCCTATGACTTCTATGAGTCTTAAAACCTCTTTAAAAGAGTCATAATTATCTGCAGAGAATACTAACAGGATAACATTTGCAGAACTTATGTAGATACGTTGCATATCTGGGAAGTTGTAAGCGCCAGCAGTATCAAGAATTTCAATGGAAATTTGTTCACAATTTGTTGGTTTTTCTTCTGTCAACGGATACAGAGCTTCTACAGTAGGTATATATCCATCGCTATATTCACGATTGAGTAGACGTTGTACCACCGAGCTCTTGCCAACCTCTGCAGAACCCATCACCACAATACGGTATTTTTTGTCAGAACTGTGACTACACATATCTGTTTGTTGATAGCATCAATAAATATATCTAAACAATATAACTAAATTCTGAATATGTTCAATCCATAAGCTTCGTTCCTGGTCGTATAATAAAGTTCAGTCCAATTGTGTCCTGTACAGCGCACTTGTGCGATGAAACGGAAGTGAATCGGAGGTGTGTTTAATTTGCAGTAGTTTATAAGGACCATAATCTGTTCAAATACCACTTGTAGTGTTGTAAATATAACGAATTATCAAAATACAAATTTGCAGTTTAGGAAAGGTCAAAAAATACGTTTTATCAATTAGCCTATGCCCTATCATTACTTTATCAGTAATTATTATCGTTAT